GTCAAGAGATCGAGACCATCCTGGTCAACATAGTGAAACCCCGTCTCTACTAAAAATACAAAAAATTAGCTGGGCATGGTGGCGCGCGCCTGTAATCCCAGCTACTCAGGAGGCTGAAGCAGGAGAATTGCCTGAACCCAGGAGGCAGAGGTTGCGGTGAGCCGAGATCACGCCATTGCACATCAGCCTGGGTAACAAGAGCAAAACTCCGTCCCAAAGGGAAAAAAAAAAAAAAAAAAGAATCACTGGGCTGGGTGGAGCTGGGGGCTTCCTGGAGATGGCATCTGGGAAGACCCTCCAAATGTCAGTCCAAGCCAGCAACTGGGGACAGGCTGCAGGAAGTGCCCAGGCCAGCCCTAGGACTGGCAAACCATCACAGCAAACCATCAGTGGAGGACTAGAGTCTGCAATGAGGGGACTCAGTGTCTCCAGCCCGGGGAGGGGCCACTGGAGGAGCTGGCTGTGCATTCAGAGAAGCCCTCCTGGAGGAAGAGCTACTTCTGGCTGGTGTGGGACAAGGAAGAAGGTAGAGATGAGTCAGGTTGGAGAAAGTGCTGAGGGACAGGGATACAGAAAAGAAAGCTCTGTCCCTTCTTGTCATTTACCCTTAGGATGTCAAGATCAGGGAGGTGGGGGATGGACAGAAGAAGCAAAGATGACTGAGGCAGAATGAAGATAACATCTCAGTGCCAATGCCATGGTCAGGGCGGGCATGGATAGCTAGGGCTGGCAGGGAGCAAGTCCCCAGCTGTGACTGGGAAACATTTCCTGTCTCCTTGCCAGGGGGGTCATTAATAATCGTTTGCCCGCCGCAGGCAGCATGGAGGCCAGCCAGAGAGCAGCATGGTGCTGGAGCTAGAACCCAGCCTGGCAGCAAGAAGTGCTGTATTCTGACACCTGCCACCCTGCTGTGAGACCTGGACCAGTCACCTGAACTCTCTTGGTCTCTGGAGCTACTGGTGAGAGAAGGGCCTGATGAGGATGCTGCCTTGAGTCCCCTCATCCACTGGGCCCCGGTTTCCCTAGATGGAGCTGGGCTGCCAACCCTGCAGGGCAGTTCCATTCATCTGATGATAGATGTGAGCATCTGGACTCTGCCAGACCCAGCTCAGGACACACATGATGGGTAGAGGAGAGACCCGGGCCCAGCCTCTGCAGAGCTCCCATTCTGGCAGGAGCCAGACCCCAGACCAGAGGGTGCACATGCAGAGCCCCACAGAACCAGGTGCCCCAGACTGAAGGAACACAGAAGGGAGGCCGACTGACAGCGTGGCTGAACACAGAAGGTAGGAGCTCCATGAGGCCAGTTTGGTCACCACCATGACCCCAGCACTTAAAACTATGTCTGCCTGGTACACAGCAGGTGCTCCATAAAGGCTTTTAGACAATTGTATAAGTTATCTGTTAAATGAGACATTTGTGAAAGGACCTTGGACTTTGGAAAGAATTGCATAAAAGATGATGACAATGACAATGTCAGTGACAATGAAGATAGTTCCAGCCAGAGACAATGGGACAGAAAAGGAACCATGAAAGCTTGAGAAGGCTGGAGGCCCAGGGATGGCCACCCAAAGCCAGACAGTGTTACCTGGGGAACGGCCAGTTGCCTTCAAGATCCCTTTTACCAGTCAGGCCAGACCTTCCTCAGTCCCAGGCTGCATTTCTCTGCCCACCCCAACACCCCCTTCAGGGCCCAGCTCAAGCCTATTCATTTCAGAGAACCTTCTGGAAAGTGACACTGCAGCGTTGACCCCAGCCCCCTTCCCAGACTGTCTTGGACTTCCCCGTACCTTCAATCTCAAGGAGTCTTGGATGTTTCTTCTCTCAAGCAGCTGCTGGGAGGCGGCCCAGTTAGGGTTTTCCCACAGCTCTCTCTGGAAGGTATAACCTCTGTCCTATAGACTGCATCTCCCTCCTCAGACTAGAGGGTCCCAAAGGTGTGACCAGCTCTCTCCTTATAGATAAGTGTCTCTGTGAGGACAGGGACTATTTCTCCTCCATCAGATGTGGGGTGAACACAAACAGAGCTACATCAAGGTCTTCCTGGTTTTCTCCATCAGGTTTCCTGCAGCCACACAGAGAAGGGGCAAGGGCAGGTGCACCTGGAGAGGGGGGTGCTTGGCTGCTCAGCGCTGCTGACACAAGCCAGGAAGGACGCTGGGCCACCATGGACAAAGACTACACGACTGGCAAACTCTAAGCCCAGCCCAAGCTGTTCTTACACCAAGAGGAGCCGCCAAAGACACCACCCAGGCCTCGCTGCCCGAGCCGTAGCCTCCCCTCAGGGGAGCACGAGAGGTATAGTAAACACAGTGACCTTGCTGCCACGTGCATCCTCTCCACACCCTCCCCCAAACCGGGGCCCCAAACACCAGTCAAACTGAGAGGAAAAGAACAAAGGTTCCCAGACTGTGACATCGCCTGCCGCCCGCCTGTCCAGCGCCTGCTCTGCCGGAAACCCAAAACAAAGGCCTTGGTCATGGCAAGGAGGATGAAGGGCAAAGGGTAGGGGCAGCTGGGGCTGGGGGGGGCATGGGAGAACATTCCAGGGCATCTCTAGGGACCTGATCAGGAGGGGAGCAAGGACAGGATGGCAGCCAAGCCCTCCTGCACACATGCGTCACTCCACAGACATTTATGGGACACCTGCTATATTCCACACGCCCCAAATGTTACAGAATTCACTCTTCACACACACCTCATGCACACACTCCCACCGCAGCACATTCTATAGTCCTCAACAACCCAACACACACACCGCTCACTCACTGGCCACTCCCGCCCCTCCTCACCACGCACACACAGCTCACGGGGAGAAAAGATCACATAACCCGCACCTCACTCTGAAAAGTCACACAGCTCACACAGCCTCACTTCGCACCACACTCACACCCGGTCTCCCACCACACACCTCACACACCTCTCACCTCCCCAACCACAGGCATATGCGTCCAATTAAATTCAACACACACGCCACCTAGACACGGAGACACACGCAGACACAACCTGCATTGATAATGTGCACATCTAATGTCACACGTTTGTGGCACACACAGTCCCTCAGCCAGCTCTGCTGGCCCACTGCCTCCTCCCACCCCACCCCACTCCCATATGCACGTGTACACGCACGGGCACACACCCACATAAACACACACACAATCTCACATACTTGTCAACTGGCTCCTCGCCTCAGACCCCTCAGCCCTCGCTTCACCCTTTCCTGTCCAGAACTGCAGGAGCAGCCACCACACAGACACATGACGCTCAAACACCAACACTCAGGTCCCAATATCTATATTCCCCAAGCAATCCCAGGATGTGCCACAGTGACTCTAAGCCAGCCACCCAGGCTCCAAACACATTGGCACACACAGCACCCCCTGCCCCAACTCATCTCTGACAAGACAACCAATGGAAGCCATCAGGCCGTTGCAGTGGCCCTTCCTGGCCACACAACAGCCAGCTACATACACAAGCACATATACAACCCCATAGGCAAGTTGCTCCTGCAACAACTCCGCTGTACAATGACGGCCATACAGCCACAGACACACAAGTTCCCCACACACAACAGCCATATACCCAGCTACCACTCCACAGCCACAACACTGCCTCCCCAGCCACACACAGCACGAAATGCCATAGACTCACAATCCTCACACTTCCCTTCATCTCCCCACAAATAATCCCACTCACGATGATACATTCATACATGGCACAACACACATGATGACACACAAGACACACCCAACACATGCAACCCAGGCCGTGCTACACATGCAGAGGAACACACACAAACACACACACTCTAGACCCATCCAGCCTGGACACATCCCACCGCAGGTGACTGACACCAGTTTGCAGTCTACGCTTCCCCATCCCAAGCCCCAGCCGCCCCCGTCAAGGCTGGGGCAGCAAGGATGAGGGGCTTTATAAGTTACAAAAGCCAGCGCCCACCACGTCATCCCCCCACCGCCTCAGATCCCTGGGCACCACCTGAGGGCAGCACACTCCACATTCAGGCCTTTCCACCTGAGCCCACACCATGCCATGCCTGAGAACATGGGGTGCAGGGGAGGTCCCAGGGACACTAGCCCTGCTCGCTGAGCCTGCCCCCTCCTCACGGCTAAGCAGAGGTAGATTCAAGAGGAAGGGGTGACTACAGAAAAAGACCCCAAAGCAAAGATAGAGACCTAAAGAAAATGGGAGAGCGACTAAGACAGACCAAGAGAGGTGGGCACATGGGGCAAGAGACCAAATTAGAGAGAGCCCAGAAACACTTGAAGAGAACCCAGAGGAGAAGCCCAAAGGATAAAGCGGGACTGCTGCACCCAGAGAGAATCCAGAGGAGGGCCCCACAAGGGTAAAGACTCCGAGATCTCCAACGCAGAAGCGAGGGCAGGGATCGGGCAGTGGGTCCTGCAGAGGAGGCCAGTGAAGCCCCGATGGAAGGAGGGTTTGGATTCTGGGGTCCAGTCCAGGCTGAGGACTGAAGTCCAGATGTTTGGGTGGGAATCTGAGCGGGTGTCCAGTTGAGGTTGTGGAATGGAGGTTCAGTACTTGGGGTGAGGTTGGCTCTGAGGTGGGGTCCCGGAGGACAGCTGGGGGTTCGGGTGCTCTGGGTGTGCCGGGGGTCCTACATAAATAATGAAGGTTCCAAGTCTTGGGCAGGGTTCCCCACTAATCTAAGGAAAGGGAGTTCGAGGCTTGGGAAGGGCTCTCAGTGTGCACTGCGGTCCCATCATGGACTGGAAGCTCAGTGCTTGGGGTGGAGCCCCGGATCCAAATGGAGTTCGGAGTCTGGGGTGACGTTTGGACTGAGAGCCAGGGCATCAAGGGCTCTTGGTCTGCGCTGCCGTCCCAGCACTGGAGTAGAATTCGGAACTAGGGGAGGGGTCTCCTCCCTGAGAAAGGTTCGGGGAGCTCGGGGGCGGGTGGACCCGGCCCGGCGCTCGCCGGACACCCCGTTCTCCTGGTGCCCAGCGCGGGGCCCCCCCTACCTGCAGGCTGTCGGCGCATGGCTGCGGCTGCGGCTGCGGCGGCGGCGGCTCGTCCGGCTTGAGGAAGACCTGCTGGCCCCGCCTGAGGAATTGGACAACAGCGATGAGGATGTGGTGCAGCACCAGGACCATGCTCGCAGCCGCCCGCCCGCCCGCCGGCCCGGCCGCTGCGCTTGGTCAGCGCGTCCGCGACAGCTTCGCCGCGAGTGTCCGCCCCGGCCCCGCCCTGGCCCGCCCCCCGCCCGCCCCCGGCCCGCCCCAGCCCCGCCTATGTCCCCCGCCACCGCGGACCGCACCTCCCGGCCCGTCGGATCCTCCGACCCCACCGGACCCCCCGCCGCCGTCACCCCGCTTCTCCCTCCGCCATGGGTTCCCTCGGCCCTTCCAGCTGGCCTGCTGCTGGGACCCCGCCGGGAAGCCGGCTCTCAGCCTGCGCTCCCTGGCCCTCGCCCAGTCGCCACTTCTCTCGCATCTCAGAGCCCCCACCCTGTCTGATCGCACCCTGTCTTCCCGCCACCTCTTTGGGTCCCCGGCCCGGCCAGAGCCCCAGGCGGAGACCGGCGCAGTGGGGTGGGGTGGGGAGGGCAGGAGAAGGGGAAGCGGGGCAGGGGCCCCGGACACCGCAGGAGCCTCGGGCTTGCTCCTCTCCCTGGACCCAGGAGGCAGGGGGAAGTGGGGAGAATGTTGGAGGTCGCTCCGAGACGGACAGGCCCCCGGAGCAGTCGCCAATCTGCAAGGGAGACACGTGTGCACAGACACGGAGCGCACACACAGCAGCCGCTCCTCACTGGGCCCCCAGGCCTGGGCGGGCAGGTCTGCGTCGGCGTCCCCGGAGCCGGAGAGGGTGCACGCCCCTGGGCCACACGGTCCGCAGTTCCGCGGTGGGACCCGCGCGCTGTGAGCGCGTTTCTCCGCAGAGCGGCTTCTGGGTTCAGGCGCCTGCGGCAGCGGCGACGCTCCTGCGCCCCCTGCCGTCCCATCGCGGCAGCGCAGCCCGGCCTCAGTCGCTGGCTACCCGGAGGGGCCGCGCGGGGGTTCAGCAGGTAACCGGGGTCAGCTCCCTGCCAGGACCGACCCGGTTAACCTCCGCTTGTCATGAAAGCGGCTGGGGCGGCGGGACGGCTCTGGACTGTAGGGTGTGCTTGGGTCTCGTTAGGCCTTTGCCAGCGACTTGCTGCCTGACCTTGGTCCATCCCCTCCCCCCACTCCTGGGCCTCAGTGTTCTCATCTCCCTCACAGGACCGCCAGAAGGATCAAACCCGGGAATGGCGAGAAGGCAGAGTCCCCCGTCAGAGCTCACTGGGACCTGACCTGAATCTGCCCCCCGCCCATGCACTGCCCGCCCCTCTCTGTGTAGCTTTCCTCACTAACTCTTGAAGAGTGACTCAGTGAGCCCCCAGCCTCCCAGCCTCCCAGCCTCCCTACCTCAGTTGGGTGATTCACTGGGGCCCTTTCTCCCTGGGGAGTGATTTCCTCAATGTTGAGTCACTGTGCCCAGTCCTGGACACAGTCCAGGCAGCTGGCGCATAGCCTTGGCAGAGCCCGGCCACCCCACCAGCTCAGGGGGCGGCCCTGCATACCAGCATTCCTACAACCTTTCTTTCTGAGGCACTCTCTGGCATGCTCTCCCCAACTCATCCTCAGTGGCTCCCTACCACCAGCACAATATAGCCGGGGCCCTCGGCCTGGCGGGCCAGAGCCGCTACAGCTGAACCCTCACTTGTTCTCCAGCTCCAACTCCCCTCCCACCATTCCTTACATTTCTACTTCTTGCTCTTCTCACATCAGTGACTGACTCACTCTCACCTCCAGGCCTCTGCCCATGCCGCCCCGCCCCCAATATCCTCCCAGATCCTCTCCTCCTGCCTGTCATTTAGGGGTCATTTGAAGGCCCACCTCCTCTGGGAGGGCTTCCCTGGTTACTACCTTATCCCTCTGTGTAGACCTTTTTTGTGTCTTTCCTGGGAGTCACATCAGGGCACTTAGAGGTGTGCAGTAAGTGATCTGGGCCAAGTCAACATATTTTATCAACTCTTCAAAACAGGGGCAATTCTTCCTATTTATTAGCACTGTAGAGAAGATTACCTGGGCTAAGATGTGTACAGGTTCTGGCCCCACAGGGCCCCCCTTCCTATTTTTGACCTCAGTTTTCTCTTCTGTAAAAGGGGATGACCCATGTAAGGGCTGCGGGAAGGACTAGGTCTGAGCCTGAGCTCAGTGCATAAGTCTCTTGGTAAACTCTGAGCATGGGTCACTGCCTCAGTCCTGGGCTCTGGACAAGCCTGGGTGGGACACAGGAGCCCGGGAGGTACGTGTTACAGCCACTGGCCAGAGTTACTTGTTCTTCAGGGAAGGCCACCTCAGACCATGGTCAACAGCCAACCCTGGCCCGGCACCACCACCATCTCTTGGGCTCCCAACTCCAGGCACTCACCTCTTGAGAAGTTATTTCTTAAGTCTTACTTGAATCTCTCAAACTCTAGCTCAATGACTGGGGTCGCTGGTGCATGCTCTATGCATCCCTCAACTCAGAGTCTTTCTGTGTCAACCTTTCAGATCCAAGCATTCGTCAGAGGGCTTGAGTCCTAAGTATGCCTAGACTTGCTGTGGGATTCTGAGCAGGCCACAGTGCCTCTCTGGGCCTCCATGTCCCCCTCTGTGAAGTGTTATTACACTAGAGTCAGTAAAAAAGCGCACTGCTTTCTCTCAGTGCTTGGTAGAATGCAGAGACCTTTCACAAACACCCTCTCAAACAATCCCTGAAATTCCCCAGCCAGGGCCCTCCCTGAAGGGGCAACCAGGGCTCGTTGAGTTGGCACATTTAGAGGCCTTGCCGAGCTCTTACAGCTAGGAGCGACCCCTGCTCCTAGGACTCCTCCACCCACACATAAATCCCTGCCTCACTCCAGCTCCACGTTCTGTGATCCTGTGCTGGGTTCTCACCCTGACTCATGTGAGAATCGCCTGGGAGCATTTTAAATGCTGACTTCTGGAACCCCCCTCCCAGATATTTGCAAATATCCCCAGGTGATTCTAATTTGCTGCCAGGTCAGAGAACCCTAGGTAGATGCATCTCCTCCTGGGCTGACCTCTGTCCCATGGAGGTGAGGGCCAGGGCTGGCCCCTACAGGCCGAGTGTATACATCTGGAGCTGAGAGGCTTTCACCTGTATTGAGCACACACTGTGTGCCTCACGTTTCATCTTCTCAACAATGATATAAGATGGGATCTATTATTAGTCACATTTCACAGATAAGGAAAACTGAGGCACAAAAAGACTAAGTAACTTGCCCATGGTCACACAGCTAGCAGGTAGTCAAAATTCAAACCCAGGCCACCTCGCTCCAGACTGTGCCTTAAATACATTCCTTGGTTCTTGAGCAAAGGCAAGTAAGGAAATCAGATTTCCCAGCTCTTTTGTTCCCAAGAATGCAGTGACTGAGGGTCCTAATATCCCAGTGTCTGTACCCTCTGCCATCTCAGACACCAGGAAGCCCGGCCCCAGCCCCAGCTTTCCTCCCAACTCCAGCTCAGGAATGCCTAGCCCAGCCCCTCTAGTCAACTCTTTTCGTCTCCCCACCTTAGAGGCCACTTGGCCTGGAAAAGGTGACTCAGCTGTCAGCCTGGGTCCTGGACCCACTCAGCCTCAGGCCCTGTCCAAGCACCAGCCCTGCCTTGTTCCTAATAAAAATGACACCTCTCATTGGTGGGACCTTGTGCTGCCAATGCGTTTCCTCACCCAGGCCCCATCCAACAGCCTCAGGAGGCACAGCGTTAGCCCCATTTTATAAATAGGGAAACTGAGGCTCAGAGAAATGTAGATGCTACCCTGAGATGGCACAGCTGGTTACTACAGGAATGTGGACCCAGGCCTCTAGACTCCAAACCCAGTGCTCTTTTCACCAAGGACGAGTAGCTACTATGTAACCCAGGCTCCTCTAGGGCAGGTTCACTCTGATGGTGTTCACCCTCTGCTCATAATCTTCACTGCGCTCCGCATGGCCTCCAAGGCAACATCCAAAGTCAGTACAACATGCAAGGCTCATCCCCAGTGACTTTTTCCTGCTGCTTCTCCTGCCACTTCCCATCTAGCCACGCCTGACTCAGCTGTACCCCGAACTTGTGGCTTTTTTTTTTCGTTTTTTTGAGATTGAGTTTCACTCTTGTTGCCCAGGCTGGAGTGCAATGGCTCACCATAACCTCTGCCTCCTGGGTTCAAGTGATTCTCCTCTCTCAGCCTCTCAAGTAGCTGGGATTACAGGCATGCACCGCCATGCCCGGCTAAGTTTGTATTTTTTTAGTAGAGATTGGGTTTCTCCATGTTGATTAGACTGGTCTTGAACTCCTGACCCCAGGTGATCCGCCTGTCTTGGCCTCCCAAAGTGCTGGGATTATAGGCATGCACCACCGTGCTTGGCCGAACCTCTGGCTTTTCTTCCACCTCCTTGCCTTTCCCCAACCTGTTGCCCTCCTATTTTTAATACCCTTCCAAAGGCACATCTGCCTGCCAATATCATACTTTTGTTCATTCATTCATGCCATAAATATTTACTGAGAATGTACTCCATGCCAAGTATTGAGGGTAAAGAAATTTAAAAGTCAGAATCTTTCAAGACGCAGGAAGAAAACCCCCATCCAAACAGAAGTAGCTCCCACCGGTATCTCCCCAGTCTACTCTGCCCTCTTCCTTCTTCCCATATCCCTAGCCCTCCCTCAAGAGTAGGGACTGTCTGATTCTTCCCTGAGTCCCCATGGTTGAGCCAGGCTGCAAGCCCTGTGATGCCCAGTGAGCTCTGGTAAAGAAGCACCGTCTCTCCATCTCCCACACTTGGTCCTGACAGACCCTCCAAAGACTGTAAGTCTTTTCCTAACCCCCACAACCACGTTTCCTGTTTCCACCGGCCTGTCTGCTGCCTGACATGCATCTATCCTATTGCCATAGACCATGGTTAGACCACCCTGGAAGCTCAGGTTCAAACTTGAGCCCTTCCCTCACATGCTGGGTGACCTCAGGCAAGCCTTTGACCCTCTCTGGCCTCAGACTTCTCAGCAGGTGTGGAGGTTGGCCTGCTTCTCTTTGAG